GCCGTATTGATCGAACACGGTTTGAATAAAAAATAGCCCATTTTGTTTCTTGCAAAAGCACCATATCCACTTTATTATCTTTGATGATTTTCTTTATTTTTCTCCTTTTCACCTCCCTACCAAAACCTCTAATATTCTAAGACAAGATCTTCATAAAAACATATTTAAACAACCACTTTACACCCAAGAAAAAATAGAATTACCTGGATTTTGATTCCTTCATCTGTTCCTCACTTTCAGCATCCAATTGTTCGAGCTCAATAATCTTCTTTAGCACTTCATCTTCTTTCCCTTCAAAGTTGATTCCAATTAATTTCCCCATACAAACTGTAGCTTGCGCCTCATTAAGGATAATCTGGCCTTTGCTTGGACCTGCATGCGAAGCTGAAGCCAAAGAGTAAGCTGCAACTGCAGCTCTAAGTGTTGCCCCTTTCTGAGCTTTGATTTTATGATTTTTGACCCTTTGACCCTGAGATCTATTCTTGCTCTTCCCTTTTTTGATATGTGTGGTCTTTTGCTTCTATCCTTACCCATCCCAGAATCCAACCCCTTCTGTAATTTTGGTAATTTTGAGCACATGCTTGAGCTGCTGGATAAATCATCATCTTGAGAGCGAATATTTTCTTCAGCCACCACCACTGCCCTAACATTTGCCAACCCACTATCCTCCCCTGTATTTACATTCCCAATGCCCACAGAAGCATCTCCACTCTCTTCCACAGGCCCATTAATCACCAGTCCATTACCCTCCACTTCCTCAATTAAACAATTACTAGCTGATTGAGGCCTATTTATCAACATGGACTTGTTTAAAACAATTTCCAAATTGAGCCCAGGGCATGGCTCAATAGAACCACTAAAGCTCCTCATAAACCCATGATCAGATATCTTGTTGTCCTTCCTAACGTTAACCACAACATGTTCAACTTCTCCTTTGCGTGCGCCAACATCCCTCACGAAGCCATAATCTGCGAAAGAATCATTAACCACCGAAATCGAGTTCCCATGGTCTGACACCACCAACCTACTTGCCACTTGTGTATGCTGCTTTTGGTCCACCGCAATAGTGTGTTCCACCTCCTCGATTCTCTCATCTTGTTGATGGTTAACTCCAGCGACTGAACTTTCCGACCAGGAAGGTGAAGAGATATTCAACCCCCATTTCTGGCGCATCTCACAATCAAAATCAACACTGTTATTTCCTTCCCCCACCGAAACCTTGTAAATTATCTTATTGCACACAACCTCTACCGACAAGTTAATTACTTCCATGAACCTAGTATGAACCATAACCTTGCCACAGTTAAGAGATTCTAAATCCAAAAGGTTATCCTCAAATTTGATGATTTCCCCCCATAATGACCCAATTCTTTGAAGTGTGCTAGTGCTCCATGCATGGAAAGGTATGCCATAACAATGCAACCAGACTAGCCTTGAAGTCTTCATAGGCAAATCTTCATCCCACAATCTTATTTCGTCACAGATATCTTGAATAAGGTCTGCCACCAAACTAAACTTCTGGTGCATTATCTCTTCTGCTGAAAAAATTAATAGAATTAAATTACCACCCCCGAATCGAAAATGAATTTCTTACAAACTGTTATTCAAGATTATACTCTGTAACTCCCCCAGCATCGACATACTCTTGATACGTATCATCATACATCTCTGTAACCATTCACTGCCTTCATCTAAAATTGCCACTTTTAACAAATTACTGGCATCACACCCCCCTTCCTTCACAATGTTTGCATAAGATTTTGTTCCTCTGCTTGTACTCACCCCGATGCCTTTCAGAATAGGCACATTGGATGCATTTGGTTTACTGCCATCCCCTGCTGCACACTCTACTCTTTGTCTGGTCTCGTGATCTACTCCAGACACAGTTCTGTGATATCTCTTCCCATTATCATAATCTACAAACTTTACCTTCAATTGTTTATTGCCACACCAGACCCCATTTGTCTTCTGAATCGCCAACTTTGTTATCACTACACAATCGTATCGAACAAACCCAAATCTTGTTCCCGCTTTGCTTCTCTTAAATGATATGAAGACATGCCTCACCACTCCAAACTTAGAAAACATATTAAACATGCCTTTAGGATCCATATCATATAGAAGGTTGTCAACAAAAATGGAAAACAGATTCAAGCCTGGAACACTTCGTTTGTGACCAGCAACTCTCCTTCTGTAGAACACCGGTTGCCAACCCCCTTCAAATCTCCTACCATAAGCGTTTTCAGCTTGCCCCGCCATCTTCTTCTCTCTAGGCCAATTTTGAGTTGGCAGAGTATCTTCTCTTATCCTCTAGCTAGCTTGCCCCGCCATCTTCTTCTCTCTAGGCCAATTTTGAGTTGGCAGAGTATCTTCTCTTATCCTCTAGCTTCTTGAACTATGTTAATGTTGTTGTAACTAAGGCAAGAATATGGAAATTTGTAACATTTGATATGTACTTTAATGGAAAAGAGGGCTTTTGGGATTAATATTATTGTTTGTATGGTAAGATTTCGGATTAATCATGTTATGATAAATGTTTTAATTTAATTAATTTGGGGCATTACACCTTCCTGAAATGGGTGGTTTCAACATGCCAAAATTAGCCCAAAAATCAATTTTGAAAATTCCAAAAACTTACCTTTTTTGTTTCTTCTTCTTCTGCCAGCTTTCTTATTCTTTTTCCACTTCACCTATGGCATGCTATGGCGGGTGGTTCTCATCTTTGATGGAGTTGGGCAATGGTGGTGGTGTGGCGGTGGTGACGATGTGAAGCTCGCGGTGATGGAGGAATGGTGTTGCGTGGTGGAGATGATATTAATGGAGGTAATGGTGATGAAGGTGGTAGCTATGGAGTTTTTGATGAAGATGACAAAGAAATGAAAAGTGATGGAGGTGAGTTCAGTGATAAAAGGTGGTGGTGAAGTTGGTGCTCACGTGGTGATAATGAAGTTGATTAAGGTGATGAAGATGTATGTATACACGTATATTAGGGGTGGCATACGTGATACATGTGCAATTTAGATAAGTAAGAATAAAAATAAATAATAAAGAAATTAATATCATAATATGTAAGTTGCTTAAATGATAAGTGTATTCTTAATGAAACCGAAAGTTTTTGGTTCAAATCTTGCTTGCGATATAGTATAATAATTTTTTATTTTAGCATATAAGAATCTTCCACGTGACATAAGGAGAAGGTTTGGAGGAGTAGGTTTTCTGGTATAAAAAAGGTTACGTTTCAGTGTAATAAGGCTTAGAAAATAAATTAATATTTTTTTTGAATAAATTTTCAATATGAAAATATACAAACTATTAAATTCAAAATGACGTAAATAATTATATAGAAGATTTTAAAAAACATGTTATTTTTATTTTATAAAAATACGGGGTTTCACAATCTATCCACTTAAACAAATTTCATCCTTGAAACCCTCAACCCCAACTTTTAGGTCATTAATAGCCCATCTCTCTCTCTCTCTCTATATATATATATCTCTTTCTCCTTTAAAACACATTCCCGCTCATCTTGTTTCTTCACAACCCAAGCTCAGTTTGTTTAATTTGGACAAATAAGAAAAAAATAGTAACACAAATAGCTAAAAAATACTAGAAATACAGATTCAATTTCTTGTTCCCTTCAGAACCCATCTCTCTCTCTCTCTCTCACACACACACACTATTTCTCTCTCTCTCTCTCTCTCTCTCTCTCACACACACACACACACACACTATTTCTTTCTCTCTCTCTCTCTCTCTTGCGTTCTTTTCAAAACCCATCTCTCTCTATCTCTATATCTCTCTTTCTCTTTCAAAATCCATTCCCGCTCATCTTGTTTCCTTCAAAACCCAAGCTTAGTTTGTTTAATTTGGACAAATAAGCAAAAAAATAGTAACACAAATAGCCACAAAATACTAAACATATAGATTCAATTTGGACATATAGGTTAAAATATAATTTTCACATATAGGTTAAAATAGTAACACAAATAGCCAAAAAATACTAGACATATAGATTCAATTTGGACATTTAGGTTAAAATATAATTTTCACAAATAGGTTAAAATAAAAATACTAGACATAGATTCAATTTGGACATATAGGTTAAAAGTATAATTCACACAAATAGATAAAAGTTTGGACAGATAGGTGGTATTTATGGAACTACATTTGTCAAATGCTTGTACATGGACCACTACAAGAAATGACACTTTTGGCGACCAAAATATTGGTTGCCAAAAGCCCCGTTTTTGGTCGCCGAAACTAATTAGCGACTAATTTTTGTTGTCGCCAAAGTCGTCGCCTATACTCTGTCAGCGATAGTATTGGCGACTAAACTATTTTTGGTCGCCGAAAGTGAACGTTTTGGCTACTAAAATTTGGTTAGTCGGCAAAGGTTATCTTTTGGCGACAAAAACATTAGTCACCAAAAGTGAACATTTGGCTACGAAAGTTTGAGTAGTCGGGGAAGATGATATTTTGGCGACTAAATATTTAGTCGCCAAAAGTGTTCAAATAAAATTAATTTAATTTTCAGCAACTAAAACTTTTAGTTGTAGATAAGTTTTAGTCACAATATTACTACATTTAGGCACTAAAGAATTTATTCGCCAAAAAAATTATTTTTCATTTTATTTTATTTTTTGCTATTAACCATTTGGTCACCGAAAGTCTCATTTATTTCTGGCTACCAAATATTTAGTGGCTAAAAATATTGATTTCCTTTTTGGCTACCAATTGGTTAGTCACTAACAAATTCACTTTTTCTTTTTTTTGGCTACTAAACATTTAGTTGCCAAAAAATTTATTTAGTATTTTTCTTTTTATAATTAATTTCTCCACAACCTGTATTTATTTCGTGCAACCTGCATTCTGTATATAAACAAAATAATACATATATCTATTTCTATTTCGTTTCAACCATACAAAAATTTGATCTTTTAACATCAAATTCTATACAAATCAAATATAATTCAACCCAAAATAATAATTCCAGAGAATCATACAAAAAAGATGTCCTCTGTACACAAAATTCTACATCAAATGTCATTTACAGAATATTTTGAAGGTGTAAATATGATGGGAAAATTAAATTTATTTACTAAAACACTTGCTTAATTTAACAATGAAGCCATTGATCTAAAGGCTTTTCATCCTTCAAGCTTGCTTCATATAGTTTGATACCTTTCTTTCTGAAGACACCAACTGCAAAATAATAATCAATCTCCCAATCAGCAGAAGCATTTAGCAAATAAGTATAGATAATTAAACAATCCAAAAACTCAAGGGATTCAACCTTGCCTTAATAACCATGGATTGTTATAGCACATTATCGAGATCCACCATTATAAAATATGATCACTAATTTAAATTTAGTCTAAATGGCAAGAGTTAGAAAGGTCACCTAAGAAAGTGTTTGGTTCACTAGATGAAATAGAATGAAATGATTATTACATCAAAATATTTATTCTCATGTTTGGTTGACAAACAAAAATAATGAAAAATACGTTGTAAATAGAACATCATATACCAATGTAATGGAATGATCATTCTATAAGGAAGATTAAGGAATAATCATTCTATTCCATTCTATCTCATCCCAATGAACTGAATAGAGCATAAATAGAATGCATATTGAAATGGTAGCTTAAGGTGCTTGCAAGTAAGCAAAAAATAAAATAAAAAATTGAGTAAGTGATACTAGTTTACTTCGAAGTATCACCAATTTATTAAAGCCTGATCATGGCCAATATACTGGCTTAGTCCTTGCCCCCACTTTTGCATCACTTTCTCTAAATCAAAACAAAATCGGACAAAAAATAAAATAAAATTTGTGACTCGTACAATTTGCGAAAACATGAGCTTAAAAATTTGGTGGCTTAAATTGCGCATTTTTGGAGGATTTAGTTGCATATGGTAAGAATTCTACAAAGATGTTAAGGCAACTGCGACCCTTTTTAATGGAGTTCAGTTTCTTTCGCATGATTTTCTATTGCTTTTTATTAACACAAGGCATATTAGCAAAAACTATAATGCAGCTGTTCGAGTGAAAAATGGAAGTAAAATGACACTAAAACAACATATTCTAAAATGAAGTAATTTTGCTTCAACTTGAAACAAATGCCATTGTATTACCACAACAAGAACATTGCAAAGAATCCTGATCCTTTTTTTATGATACAGTTTTATTGATCCTACATATACTTGAGTAAGCTTCTTGTTAATTAGGATCAAAGAGAATAAGGTTCTTCTATCATATTGTATGATTGAAAGTATCCTATGGTCATGTTTGTTTGGGCAAACAAAATTAGATGGGATTAGCATTGTTAGGACTGCTAGTTCTGAGACTATTAATCTCTTAGGATAGTGTATTATATTTCATATTTGGATTAACTCAAGATTATGAAGAATGAATAACAAAATCCTATCAATTTTGTAATTTAATTATTCAGTCTGAACATGACCTTTTTGTATCTCACTCTCTTAGTATTCAATAATTCTCTATATGAGGGATGCCATGTTTGGGTGGATTCTTAACCAAACATGAAATTAAGTATTTTATTATATTATTATTCCAATCCTCAGACCATATACTCTCAAACAAAGTAAAATGAAGTAATTTTGCTTTCTCTTAGTATTCAATAATTCTCTATATGAGGGATGCCATGTTTGGGTGGATTCTTAACCAAACATGAAATTAAGTATTTTATTATATTATTATTCCAATCCTCAGACCACATACTCTCAAACAAAGATGACCTATATGCTATTCTATTCTTTAAAATGCCTAAAAAAAATAAAATAATCATTTTAACCAATATAAACAAATTAAGGAGTTAAATGGCATGATGGTAGTTCATTTTGATAGTTCATTAAGGAGTTAAAGATGAGCTGAGTACTATTTTTATTGTAATAATAAACTACCTGCGAAAACATTCGCTGCTTGTTCCGATATTGTGTCCTCGCCTTGTTGACGACCGAGTTTGGTGACTCGTACAATCTCTGTACAAAGAGTGAATGACTTTAAAAGGGGAACAAAGAAAGGTCCACAGATTCAAAGAAAGAATAGACTAATACAAAATCCCCAGCAACACAAATTAACAAGGAATTAGGTCCCAACATTGTCCCGAATAGAAACCACTTCAAGCCTTCCGCATAGAAAACCCAAGTTGGCAATGGGCAAAGCATAATAACTAGCACATTGTTTGATTGGTTAAACATATATTTAAAAAAAATTAAAACGGCTTCAAATAAAACTGGTTTAAACCTGGTAAAGGTTTAGTGGCCACTACCTGATAAGAGTAGCAACATTAGTTTTTGCAGAATAGATTTCAAAGACAACTACCATCTAATCAACCAAAGTTTGAATCAAGATCTAAATCTACAACATTACATATCTAGGCATCTCAACTTGACACGAGAGCTTGTGAAATAGGAGGAACTGATTCTTCTAATATTTCCTGAGCTCTTTCCCCAGGACCAGTGGTCAGAGCCAGCAATCCTACAAAAAAACATATCTCAAACACTACTCCAAATCAAACAAAATGAATCAAACAAAATGAGTAAAACAAAGGGTCAAAGAGTTACCAATGGCATGAGCTGCTAAAGCTATCTCCTTAGCAGACCCCTTCTTGATCAAATTTAGACACTCATGCAACAAAGTAGCAAACCTAAGGAAAAAACACCACATGAATCCATAAATATGCGGTGTTTCATAAATGTACAGACATGCAGAGCTGGTGCGACAGTGCAACCCAAATAATTCTATAATTCAAAAATTAAATATACACTGGTAGTTAAGCAGATGAATCAACAATCGAATGTAATATCTCTTTTTTTTTTTCTTTTTCTTCATTTTCTCTCTCTAATTTTCAATTTCAGTTAACTAACTTCATTAAAATTAAGTGACAGTGCAGAGCACACATCTATAGAAGGAACATAAATCAACAAACCAGTCCTCAAAACCTTTCTATGACATTTTTACATACACTTGGTGAGCATAAATTAAAAAGATCGGAGAAGTACACTGTTCACATGTAGAGCACGGAACTGCAACAACACCAATTTTCAATTCCATTGAATTACATATGAAAGAGATCGGAGAAGATGTGAAGATTTATTACCCGTTGAGAAGGAGATCGTCATAGAGGGGCATGTGAGCGTTAGGGTGTAGAGGGTCGGATCCCTAAATCTGGCGGCGGACGGAGGGAGAGGAGGAGTTGCCGGAAGAGCTGCTAGGAGGAGGAGAGAGAAAGACGGAGAGGAACATGGTGTGGCGGTTGCTGCTGCTGTGGTGGTCGGAGGACGATGGTGGTTGCTTCGCTAGAGGAAACGACCTCGGCCATGAGAAATAGGATCAAGATGGCAGTGGTGGTGGCGACCTGTGGCCACGGCCGCGCCATTGGTGGGTGGAATTGGAGGTCAATGAGAGAAGTGAGAAGACGGTAGGTCTCTCTTCTCGCTAGAGACAGAGAGGTGATATGGGAAAACAAAATACATATATAATTAATAATAATTCGCGACTAAATATTTTAGTCGCTAATTGTAAATTTTTTTAATATGTCTGAAATTTGAAATCTCCCTCTAAATATTTTAGCCTTTTGGCGACTAAAATATTCTTTTGTCGCTATAAATATACTTTTGGTGACCAAACTTTTGGTCGCCAAAGATAAAAAATAATTTTTTTCTTTTCATTCGGCTACTAAACAATTTTAGTAGCTAAAACTAGCTATACGGCTGCTAAAAATTTTTTTCGGCGCCAATTGTGATATTTTTAGCTACTAAATTTTTTTTTAGTCGCCAATTGTAATATGTTTAGCTACTAATTTTTTTAGTGGAAAATAATCAATATTCCCCGACTAAAAAAAATTAGTAGCTAAATATTTGACTTTTGCCAACTAATATTATTTTTGGTAGCCAATTCTGTAACTTTTGGCAACTAAATTTTTTTTAGTCGCCAAAAATGGTCGCCGAAAATGCATTTTCTTGTAGTGGACTTTTGACCAAATTCAATAAATTGATCCTGTTGTTCGAAAAAGAATCACCATGTATCCTCAATGACACATACAATTGGGAATATGGATTTATTAAGGATTTTTCTAAAATTATATTGAAATATGTTAAAAAAAACAAAAATATTAAAATATTATAAAATATGGAAAAAGTATAATATAATTATAAATATTTTAACATTATATGCTTCCTATTAACAACCTTTAAATCTATCATTAGCAGGATTGATAAATCATTTGCATCATTTTTATTTAATTTATTATTATTTTTTTTGTTATTCTTTTTGAAAGTTGGTGTTTTTAAAAATAAAAACAACATGAAGTACGTGATCTACTCCAGACACAGTTCTGTGATATCTCTTCCCATTATCATAATCTGCAAACTTTACCTTCAATTGTTTATTTCCACACCAGACCCCATTTGTCTTCTGAATCGCCAACTTTGTTATCACTACACAATCGTATCGAACAAACCCAAATCTTGTTCCCACTTTGCTTCTCTTAAATGATATGAAGACATGCCTCACCACTCCAAACTTAGAAAACATATTAAACATGCCTTTAGGATCCATATCATATAGAAGGTTGCCAACAAAAATGGAAAACAGATTCAAGCCTGGAACACTTCGTCTGTGACCAGCAACTCTCTTTCTGTAGAACGCCGGTTGCCAACCCCCTTCAAATCTCCTACCATAAGCGTTTCCAGCTTGCCCCGCCATCTTCTTCTCTCTAGGCCAATTTTGAGTTGGCAGAGTATCTTCTCTTATCCTCTAGCTTCTTGAACTATGTTAATGCTGTTGTAACTAAGGCAAGAATATGGAAATTTGTAACATTTGATATGTACTTCAATGGAAAAGAGGGCTTTTGGGATTAATATTATTGTTTGTATGGTAAGATTTCGGATTAATCATGCTATGATAAATGTTTTAATTTAATTAATTTGGGGGCATTACACCTTCCTGAAATGGGTGGTTTCAACATGCCAAAATTAGCCTAAAAATCAATTTTGAAAATTCCAAAAATTTACCTTTTTTGTTTTTTCTTCTTCTGCCAGCTTTCTTATTCTTTTTCCACTTCACCTATGGCATGCTATGGGGGGTGGTTCTCATCTTTGACGGAGCTGGGCAATGATGGTGGTGTGGCGGTGGCAACGATGTGAAGCTCGCGGTGATGGAGGAATGGTGTTGCGTGGTGGAGATGATATTAATGGAGGTAATGGTGATGAAGGTGGTAGCTATGGAGTTTTTGATGAAGATGACAAAGAAATGAAAAGTGATGGAGGTGAGTTCAGTGATAAAAGGTGGTGGTGAAGTTGGTGCTCACGTGGTGATAATGAAGTTGATTAAGGTGATGAAGATGTATGTATACACGTATATTAGGGGTGGCATACGTGATACATGTGCAATTTAGATAAGTAAGAATAAAAATAAATAATAAAGAAATTAATATCATAATATGTAAGTTGCTTAAATGATAAGTGTATTCTTAATGAAACCGAAAGTTTTTGGTTCAAATCTTGCTTGCGATATAGTATAATAATTTTTTATTTTAGCATATAAGAATCTTCCACGTGACATAAGGAGAAGGTTTGGAGGAGTAGGTTTTCTGGTATAAAAAAAGTTACGTTTCAGTGTAATAAGGCTTAGAAAATAAATTAATATTTTTTTTGAATAAATTTTCAATATGAAAATATACAAACTATTAAATTCAAAATGACGTAAATAATTATATAGAAGATTTTAAAAAACATGTTATTTTTATTTTATAAAAATACGGGGTTTCACAATCTATCCACTTAAACAAATTTCATCCTTGAAACCCTCAACCCCAACTTTTAGGTCATTAATAGCCCATCTCTCTCTCTCTCTCTATATATATATATCTCTTTCTCCTTTAAAACACATTCCCGCTCATCTTGTTTCTTCACAACCCAAGCTCAGTTTGTTTAATTTGGACAAATAAGAAAAAAATAGTAACACAAATAGCTAAAAAATACTAGAAATACAGATTCAATTTCTTGTTCCCTTCAGAACCCATCTCTCTCTCTCTCTCTCACACACACACACTATTTCTCTCTCTCTCTCTCTCTCTCTCTTGTGTTCTTTTCAAAACCCATCTGTCTCTATCTCTATATCTCTCTTTCTCTTTCAAAATCCATTCCAGCTCATCTTGTTTCCTTCAGAACCCAAGCTCGGTTTGTTTAATTTGGACAAATAAGCAAAAAATAGTAACACAAAGAGCCACAAAATACTAAACATATATATTCAATTTGGACATATAGGTTAAAATATAATTTTCACATATAGGTTAAAATAGTAACACAAATAGCCAAAAAATACTAGACATATAGATTCAATTTGGACATATAGGTTAAAATATAATTTTCACAAATCGGTTAAAATAAAAATACTAGACATAGATTCAATTTGGACATATAGGTTAAAAGTTTAATTCACACAAATAGATAAAAGTTTGGACAGATAGGTGGTATTTATGGAACTACATTTGTCAAATGCTTGTACACGGACCACTACAAGAAATGACACTTTTGGCGACCAAAATATTGGTTGCCAAAAGCCCCGTTTTTGGTCGGCAAAACTAATTAGCGACTAATTTTTGTTGTCGCCAAAGTCGTCGCCTATACTCTGTCAGCGATAGTATTGGCAACTAAACTATTTTTGGTTGCCGAAAGTGAACGTTTTGGCTACTAAAGTTTGGTTAGTCGGCAAAGGTTATCTTTTGGCGACAAAAACATTAGTCACCAAAAGTGAACATTTGGCTACGAAAGTTTGAGTAGTCGGGGAAGGTGATATTTTGGTGACTAAATATTTAGTCGCCAAAAGTGTTCAAATAAAATTAATATAATTTTCAGCAACTAAAACTTTTAGTCGTAGATAAGTTTTAGTCACAATATTACTACATTTAGGGACTAAAGAATTTAGTCGCCAAAAAAATTATTTTTCATTTTATTTTATTTTTTGCTACTAACCATTTGGTCGCTGAAAGTCTCATTTATTTCTGGCTACCAAATATTTAGTGGCTAAAAATATTGATTTCCTTTTTGGCTACCAATTGGTTAGTCACTAACAAATTCAAATTTTTTTTTTTTTGGCTACTAAACATTTAGTTGCCAAAAAATTTATTTAGTATTTTTCTTATTATAATTAATTTCTCCACAACCTGTATTTATTTCGTGCAACCTGCACTCTGTATATAAATAAAATAATATATATATCTATTTCTATTTCGTTTCAACCACACAAAAATTTGGTCTTTTAACATCAAATTCTATACAAATCAAATATAATCCAACCCAAAATAATAATTCCATACAAACAGAGAATCATACAAAAAAGATGTCCTCTGTATACAAAATTCTACATCAAATGTCATTTACAGAATATTTTGAAGGTGTAAACATGATGGGAAAATTAGATTTATTTACTAAAACACTTGCTTAATTTAACAATGAAGCCATTGATCTAAATGAAGCCATTGATCTAAAGGCTTCTCATCCTTCAAGCTTGCGTCATATAGTTTGGTACCTTTCTTTCTGAAGACACCAACTGCAAAATAATAATCAACCTCCCAATCAGCAGAAGCATTTAGCAAATAAGTAAGGTCAAGTGATGGAATTGGAACACATATCAAATTGGCAGATAACTCTTAAAATTAACCATTTTCGCACGATATTGCATAGCAAGAGATATAAATTGCAAGATTTTGTGGTTGAGCCTGAGTAATTAATTTAGACTCATCATCAAAACATTGAACCAGCAATAAATACAATAAAACTGCAGGTAAAAGATGAGCTGAGTACTATTTTTATTGTAATAATAAACTACCTGCGAAAACATTAGCTGCTTGTTCCGATATTGTGTCCTTGCCTTGTTGACGACCGAGTTTGGTGACTTGTACAATCTCGGTACAAAGAGTGAACGACTTTAAAAGGGGAACAAAGAAAGGTTCACAGATTCAAAGAAAGAATAGACTAATACAAAATCCCCAGCAACACAAATTAACAAGGAATTAGGTCCCAACATTGTCCCGAATAGAAACCACTTCAAGCCTTCCGCATAGAAAACCCAAGTTGGCAATGGGCAAAGCATAATAACTAGCACATTGTTTGATTGGTTAAACATATATTTTAAAAAAATTGAAACGGCTTCAAATAAAACTGGTTTAAACCTCTTTGAGAGGTGGTAACACAATTCTCATCAAGTGACTAATGGAATAAGCAATAGAAAGTACAAATCCAAAAACATGATAGGTAATGCATGCAGAACTAGTGTTGGCAGAAAAGATTAATACCATAGCGATTTACGTTTTAGAAATCACGTTTTGAAATATGATACACTTGCACTCCAAAACAATAAATTTAACTATACAAAGTGATCCAAAAATAAGAAAGCACGTTTTGAAATATGATACACTTTCACCAGAGAACTTAAAGTTTCCTATCTAAAAAATTAAGGCAAGTGCTTCGCCAGCTGCAATGCGCACAGATCTATCATCCTTGTCTAGCAGAGTAGAAAAATAAGAAATCGACCTACATCATTAGCAGAACAGGGTAAATTCGTTTAATTAAATTTCTCTCCACAACAACAATTGACCTTACAGTCCAACACTAAATATTCGACATTTTTGGGAGGTTTCAATGTCTAAATCCCAAAACTCTCACATACCCAACAAGCATAATAAAGAAACCGTATTAGGGAGGAGAGAGACTTACATGTGTGCGCATTATTGTATTAATGTGCAGTATAATATATGCGTAAAATTAGTGAGAGAGAGAGAGAGATAAATCATTGAAACTAGAGACCAAGATTTACTCACTCTTGCCAGATTTTAGGATCAAATGTCCATCCCTCCATAGTGGTAAGAAGAAATGACCAAGCAGAAACCATAGCTGTTATTACACCTGGTAAAGGTTTAGTGGCAACTACCTGATAAGAGTAGCAGCATTAGTTTTTGCAGAATAGATTTCAAAGACAACTACCGTCTAATCAACCAAAGTTTGAATCAAGATCTAAATCTACAACATTACATATCAAGGCATCTCAAGTTGACATGAGAGCTTGTGAAATAGGAGGAACTGATTCTTCCAATATTTCCTGAGCTCTTTCCCCAGGACCAGTGGTCAGAGCCAGCAATCCTACAAAAAAACATATCTCAAACACTACTCCAAATCAAACAAAATGAATCAAACAAAATGAGTAAAACAAAGGGTCAAAGAGTTACCAATGGCATGAGCTGCTAAAGCTATCTCCTTAGCAGACCCCTTCTTGATCGAATTCGGACACTGATGCAACAAAGTAGCAAACCTAAGGAAAAAACACCACGTGAATCCATAAATATGCGGTGTTTCATAAATGTACAGACATGCAGAGCTGGTGCGACTGTGCAACCCAAATAATTCTACAATTCAAAAATTAAATATACACTGATAGTTAAGCAGATGAATCAACAATCGAATGTAATATCTTTTTTTTTTTTCTTCATCTTCATTTTTTCTCTCTAATTTTCAATTTCAGTTAACTAACTTCATTAAAATTAAGTGACAGTGCAGAGCACACATCTATAGAAGGAACATAAATCAACAAACCAGACCTCAAAACCTCTCTATGACATTTTTACATACACTTGGTGAGCATAAATCAAAAAGATCGGAGAAGTACACTGTTCACATGTAGAGCAGGGAACTGCAACAACACCAATTTTCAATTCCATCGAATTACATATGAAAGAGATCGGAGAAGATGTGAAGATTTATTACCCAATGAGAAGGAGATCGTCATAGAAGGGCATGTGAGCATTAGGGTGGAGAGGGTCGGATCCCTGAATCTGGCGGCGGACGGAGGGAGAGGAGGAGTTGCCGGAAGAGCTGCTAGGAGGAGGAGAGAGAAAGAGGGAGAGGAACATGGTGTGGCGGTTGCTGCTTCCGTGGTGGTCAGAGGACGATGGTGGTTGCTTCGCCAGAGGAAACGACCTCGGCCATGGGAAATAGGATCAAGATGGCAGTGGTGGTGGCGACCTGTGGCCGTGGCCGCGCCATTGGTGCGTGGAATTGGAGGTCAATGAGAGAAGTGAGAAGACGGTAGGTCTCTCTTCTCGCTAGAGACAGAGAGGTGATAGGGGAAAACAAAATACATATATAATTAATAATAATTCGCGACTAAATATTTTAGTCGCTAATTGTAAATTTTTTTAATATGTCTGAAATTTGAAATTGCCCTCCAAATATTTTAGCCTTTTGGCGACTAAAATATTCTTTTGTCGCTATAAATATACTTTTGGCGACCAAACTTTTGGTTGCCAAAGATAAAAAATAATTTTTTTCTTTTCATTCGGCTACTAAACAATTTTAGTAGCTAAAACAAGCTATACGGCTACTAAAATTTTTTTTAGGCACCAATTGTGATATTTTTAGCTACTAAAATTTTTTTTAGTCGCCAATTATAATATGTTTAGCTACTAAATTTTTTTTAGTCGCCAATAATTAATATTCCCCGACTAAAAAAAATTAGTAGCTAAATATTTGACTTTTGCCGACTAATATTATTTTTGGTAGCCAATTCTGTAACTTTTGGCGACTAAATTTTTTTTAGTCACCAAAAATGGTCGCCGAAAATGCATTTTCTTGTAGTGGACTTTTGACCAAATTCAATAAATTGATCCTGTTGTCCGAAAAAGAATCACCATGTATCCTCAATGACACATACAATTGGGAATATGGATTTATTAAGGATTTTTCTAAAATTATATTGAAATATGTTAAAAAAAACAAAAATATTAAAATATTATAAAATATGGAAAAAGTATAATATAATTATAAATATTTTAACATTATATGCTTCCTATTAACAACCTTTAAATCTATCATTAGCAGGATTGATAAATCATTTGCATCATTTTTATTTAATTTATTATTTTTTTGTTATTCTTTTTGAAAGTTGGTGTTTTTAAAAATAAAAACAACATGAAGTACTTTTTCTGCCGCTTTGGCAAAAGCAAAAAAGTTGGATACAAAAGATTTGGCAAACAAGCCATAAAGAGTTCTTTTTCGATGGTTTTGTAGCCAACATGCCATAAATTGTTCTCTTTCTATGGTCATAAAATCTTTTACAGATTCATTTTAGAGAGCAACTATTTATCCCTACCTTTCTTCTTAGAACCCCCACTTCTTTCATTTTTTTTTTTTAAATTCCAATTTTGTCCAAATATGAAATTCCATTTGTATCCTCATCTCTAATCTTCCCAACCCCTAACCCTAACCCCTCTCAACCCCATCGACCACCTCTATACGCCACTGGCAGCACTAATGCCCTAATCGTAACCCTAATTTCTTTTGCCACTGTCGCTATCACAATCTGAGACCTCAAACCCTAGCCACCTCTATTGCCGGCGCGATCTGAGATCTCAAGCCAGCCGTCGTCGCGATCTGTGACCTCAAACCCTAGCTGCCATCGCGATCTATGGACTCAAACCCTGGTCCTCTTCGCCACTGTCATGATTTGTGTTAGAATGTACAGTGACCGATGATGGTGGCTAGGCGATGATGGAGAGAGAGAGAGAGAGAGAGAGAGAGAGAGAGAGAGAGAGAGAGAGAGGCTCGCGATGGTGGCTCGTAACAGTGGCTCTGGATTGAGGTTGTTTGAAGCTACTGGGGGTGGTTGACTGTGGGGGTTGCAGTGGAGTTGACCGAAGAGTGGCTCTAGATTGGGGTTGACCGGAAAGTGGTGCCGACGGTGGAGGTTGTGGCCAGAGCTGGCAATGGTTGGGTTTGGAAGGTGAGTTACAGAGAGGGTATAATTGGAATTAAGGTGGGGATTCAAAGAGAAAATAAAGGGATCTCACTTAGTTGGGTAGGGGTTCAAAGAAGTGGGGGGTCTAAAGAAGAAAGGAATGTGCTAATAGCAGCCCTCTTATTTTAAGTTGTTCCATGAGCTTAAAAAATAGTTTAAAACCATTCCATAAAATAGACTATATTTAAAATAAAGGACAAAATTCACTTTATCTCCTGTGGTATGAGCTCGGACCACTTTACCCCCTATAATTCAAATATAAATAGAGATACCCCTTGTAATTTTGGACTAAATTGCAATACAAACTCTATTAATAGAAAACTTGAAATAACCATAATACCCTTCTGACTTTTCTTCTTCTTTTGTGTACTTATTATAATTTCTTCCCCTCTTTGATAAAAATGAAGTTGTTTCAATTTTAAAAAGAAAAAAAAAAGAAAGGAAAATCCCAGAACATGTTACAGAGATGAGGAAGAGAGAGAAGAAAGTGGAGCTTCACCAGCGAGCTCATCGTGATCAAGAAACCATGTCGCCACAACCGCAACCCTTGGCACTCATCTCTCTTTTTCCCATCACCATCACCACCGCCATCTGGTCTCACCTCCCTTTTCCGACCACCATCACAACCCCTTCTTTCCTTTCCAACCATCGCCGTTGTTCCTCCTTTAATCTCAAACAACAAAGGTTTGAAAATTTCTATAACTATTTATGTAAATTACATGTATATTTTTGTATCCAAGTGGTTATGATTGCAAAGTTTCAGATCTAATTGTCGTATTCTGGATGATATTTTGGCTTGAATTCCTGAATTTAGTTTGACCATTGCACTGTTAATATTTTAGCAGATTAGTAGGTAGAGGGAGAAAGTGAGGAGGAGGAGAGAGAGAGAGAGAGAGCATAGTATTGCTGAAGCTAGATAATGATGAAGATGAATGAATTATGAAGATAAGGGTAAAAATGACCTTTTACATTTTGTTTTCAATTTAATTTGGATAAATTACATTTCCCCTGAGGTTTCTGACAAAGAAAGGCACTTTCCTTATGATTTCAATAATTATAGAAACTTTTCCTAATTTAACTGACAATATCAAGATTCTCTTATTCCATTAATTTTGCACAAACAATGTTACTTGTCTATACAAAATGACCATATTTCCCCTTCATTTGAATGTAAAAAGACAAAATGGCCCTTTGTTCAGTTCCTCATACAACCTTCTCATGCATCTCATTCTATTGGATAATTACCCATCTTCATCTCCTCTACCTTTGTGTTTCCCCTCCATTACACCCAACTTCTACCTTCTCCCTCTACCTTTTTCGACTCTCCATTGCCACCAACCTACAGCTTCACCACCTCCAACCACCACAACTCTCCATTGCCCCAATTGTATACACTACTATATCCTAACAAGTACAAAATTCGAGACACCAAACCCACGAGAAGAAATATAGTGAGACAACAATGTCAGAGAGAGAGAGAGAGAGACAGATACCGAAGGTAGACTCACCAGACCCACTACGATGCCGATCTCAGAGGTGTCCTCTGGCCTTTTCTCTCTCATTGCTAGCACCCTCTCTCTCTCTCTCTCTCCCTTCCTTCCTCCCTTCCTCTCTCTCTTGCAATGGTACTATTTTCTCTCTTTGCCTTCCGACGAAAGAAGATAAAGAGCAACTCTTTGCAAAAAAAAAAAAAAACACATGTAGAAGGAAGAAGAAGCACGAAAAGAGAGAGAGCAGGAGAGAGAGAGAGAGAGAGATCATCAAGTATCCTATTTCCAGTCAAATGTCGATCGTCTCTTGAATCCTTAGCCACTAGTCTCGCCTTCCCCAGCCCTTCAGCACCCCGTCATAACATTCACAATCGCCATCGCCATCAACGACCAATTAATCGTGATCTACGAACCAGATCTAGCGATCGCAAACGCGTGTAGAAAATAAGGTCCGGCAATGGACAACCCAAATTGAGACCAAATCACTACTCCAAAGTCTTCAAAACCAAACCCAAATTGAAACCAGACAACCCAAATTACAAAACAGTTTGAGGTGATTTGGTTCCTCAAAGTCTCTAATTTTTTAATTTTTTGCTTTGATTGATTTTGATTTGTACTTTGTTTGGTGAGTCTAAAAGTTTTTCATTCTGGGTTTCATTTCTTTTGGTGAAACTTGCTCTATTTTGTTGATTAACTGGGTTTCATTCATAGAGACAACAATGTCAGAGAGAGAGAGAGAGAGACAGATACCGAAGGTAGACTCACCAGACCCACTACGATGCCGATCTCAGAGGTGTCCTCTGGCCTTTTCTCTCTCATTGCTAGCACCCTCTCTCTCTCTCTCTCTCCCTTCCTTCCTCCCTTCCTCTCTCTCTTGCAATGGTACTATTTTCTCTCTTTGCCTTCCGACGAAAGAAGATAAAGAGCAACTCTTTGCAAAAAAAAAAAAAAAAAAAAAAACACATGTAGAAGGAAGAAGAAGCACAAAAAGAGAGAGAGAAGGAGAGAGAGAGAGAGATCACCAAGTATCCTATTTCCAGTCAAATGTCGATCGTCTCTTGAATCCTTAGCCACTAGTCTCGCCTTCCCCAGCCCTTCAGCACCCCGTCATAACATTCACAATTGCCATCGCCATCAACGACCAATTAATCGTG